GGCCGTGCCGGAGGAGGATGCCCGCCGGCGGGGCTGTCCTCTCCCCCCCGCACACCGCCTGCTCCAGCCCTGAATTGCGTTTTTTAGCAGCTGCCGGACACGCAGTTGGGAGGCTGCAGAGCTCGGGGCGGGCTGAAAGGCAAGTCGCTCCGGGGTTAATTAGCCTTGGCAGGAGTAATTAGCCCAGGGCTAATTGCGGGGCTGAACGTCGGCATCCCCCGAGCCCCGCCGATGCCGCTGCGCAGAGCAGCCGGGGGGTTTAACCGTGCCTGCGGGGTCCTGAGGCTCATGGCTGGGAGTAGGGGCTTTAGGAGACCCCCGAGAGCTTGAGTTTGGGCTAAAACCCCAGCAGAAGTTGAGCAGCAGCCCATGGCAGGAGAGTAGAGACATCCCATCACATCCCCTCCAGCACGGGCATCTTCGTGCTCTATCCTAACACCCAATTAGGAATTAGGGGGGACATCAGAGACACGCTGGAGGAACCCCATCCTGGGCAGCTGGCATCCTGGAGCATCTCTGAACATTGGGATGGATGTGACTTGCTGGGAAGAGCCCTTTATCAGGACCACTTGGCTGAGCTGCCCCCAAAGCCTGGCTCCTGGGTGGGTTTTGCAGCAGGACTCAGCAGCAGCCCGGCTCCCCACACCTGAGTTGTGTCCCAGGGTTCAGCCCCAGGTGATACCATCTTCTCCTTCTCTTCAGCTACCAGCCTTCAAGGAAGCCTACAAAGCAAAGCTGCTGAGGACCAGCAGCAATTTAGGGTGTTTGAGGGGTAGGAGGACAGGTGAGCCCTCACCCCTGTTTTTTTTCTCCCCTCTCCTCCTCCCCTTTCCCAGATCTGGATCCCCTGCACCGGCCGGGGCGGTAACCTGCCACCATGGGGGTTAAAACGGTGCTCCCCAGCTACGAACTGGGGTTTTACGCTCTCGTCGTGACGTGCGCTGTGGTGTACAGCGGCAGCGGGATCTTCGAAGCATCCAGAGGTAATGCTCCCCATCGCATCGCCCCCGGGGGGGGCCCTGGGAGGGAGGATGGATGTAAGGCGGCTGCTTTTACACCTCTCGATACCAGCAGCTTTAATTTCTGCAGAGAACAGCTTGGGAATCCTTTGCAAGGTTCAAAAAGGATTTTTGCCTTTTTCCCTGGTTACCCCCTTGTCCCCATTTCCGTGGCTCTGAGCAAGAGGCTGTGGCATGTCACAGCTCATCCAGCCACTGCCCGGAACAGGCAACCACCCCGCCTACAAAGGGCAGGTTCCCAAATTTTTTGTCTGGAAACCCCAAAAAACTGAAAATTTCATGGGATCAGCCGGGACTCCCTGGGATGTGCCCTGCAAAAAGGCTTTGCTGGAAATTCTTGCAGAAACAGTGGAGGTTTCCTCCTACGGTTGTCCATGGGAATTAGGCATTTTTGGGATGGGGTGTTTGAGCCATGATGGCTCATCATCGTGATGAGGAAGACTCCCTGCCTTCCCAAAACCTGGGCCCCATTTCCCAGAGCTGTTCCTCTCCCTGTAACTCTGGTTCTTTTGCAGACAGCATGAACAGAAAGGCCTTTCGGGATGGCATAAAGCCGGGCTGGCATTACTTCGGCAGGAAGATGGTAAGCGGAGGAAGGACTCAGTCTTTTCTAGCTACCGGCGATATGGTCGGTGCTGACCGCTGGAGAAGCAGAGCTGGTTTTTCTGCTGCTGACACACTTTTGCAAAGTCCACGTGACTCCTATTTTTCTCCCTAAAGAACTAGTCAGAAAAATATCAACCCTGCAGCGCCGTGGATGCTCTGCTTTGTGTCCACCGAGACGAGCAAGCTCTGCACATCTCTCCTGCGGTTTTATGACCAAGCTAAAGTGCTTGGGAGCCCTTGGGTGGAAAAAGGGAAGAAAAGGCTTTGAAAATTGTGTGATTTCCCCTCCAGATGGTTGTTGGGGTGGGGGGTGAGGGCTGGGGACAGTAAGGCGCCCGGTGCTGCTCCCACAGGACGTGGCCGATTTCGAGTGGGTGATGTGGTTCACCTCGTTCAGGAACGTCATCATCTTCGCCCTCTCGGGACATGTCCTCTTCGGCAAGATCTGCTCCATGACGGTGCCACAGGTGAGCCAGGGATGTGGTGGGATGGATTGGAAAGCACCAGGGTGACCTGGGATCTGTGGAGGGGGCTTGAGGGATGTTCTAGGATGGG